GTGGAAATGTGCGTGTGTTTATGGGGTGTGTTCATTTGTAGAGAAGAAAGACAAATGGATGGACAAAAGAGGACGAGGGACACCAAGGGTCGCAGATTTTTTTTTTCTGGAGGAGAGAGAGAGCAGCTGATGCGAGAGGACACTTGATAGATGACATGACTGAATGTTTAGGAGACAGTCAAATGTCATGTGGTTTGACCAGTACTGGTATGGGTATCATCTGGCCCGATACTTCGTTCAGGTATTTGTAATCATACTTAAGAAAGTATGCTGTCTCTCGATACTCTGAGATGACAAATGTCTTGTCGAGCAGCCACTTGGTGCTTCACACAGACTTCGATCTGATCTGAAAAGTTGGTTTAAACCAGCAGTAGGGTTGTGCTGCGCTACCACTGAGGTGTGCGTTTTTCTGCTTATCTTCTGGGTGTGTCTTTTCTAAGAGGAGAGTTCACTGACAGAGGAGACTTGGCCTGGTCTGTCATATGGAAATCTGAGAGTTCCCCAAATCTTTTTATCAGAACCCACCTCTGTTCCCTCTCTTCCCTTTCACCCTCACCAACTACAGCCAATTACCAGGTCGCACACATTCCTGTCTTATGAAAGATGATGTGTGTTGTCATTGAAGGTTCAAAGACGGACGGGGTGGGTATGGAGGGGTGGGGGGTTTGGGGGAGGTAGGTTACTGGAAAGTAAAAAGACACTTTCGAGAATTTTCACTTGAGCCCTCACATGAAAGCCCTTTTTCTGCTCAAAGTCAAGGCTATGGGAGACGGGTCGTGTTTAGGAAGACTTTGATGGTGATGGACGGAGAGAATGAGAAGTGAAGAAGAAAGGAATGAGGGGGAGATGGGAGGGGGCTTGAGGGAGGAGGACGGCCGATCGACAGGGTCTAGGTAATTAACAGCAAGCTCTTTAATTAATGCTGGTGTTCATTGTGCCAGAAGGAATGCGACAATTATGCCATTAGAACTTCCTAATGGGGAGAGAAGTGAGGAGGCGGGGTGGTTAACGGAAGACATGCAAAAGAGAAGGATGAAAGAGTGAAAGAACTGAAGGAAGAGAGAAAGAAGGAGGGAGTGTGAGAGGGAAGGGACACAAAATGGAAAAGGGAAAACAATCGCCACAAAAGAGGAGCTGCGAGGCAGACGGGGAGCGTATTAGTCCAGAACAGTGACAGAGCAGATTAGCATCAAACAAGAAAGGCCATAGATATATGTGTGTGTGTGTGTGTGTTTCATCAGGGATACAGAGGACATATTCATTCCAAAGACGCCACCAAGGTGGATGGAACTTTGATGATGCAGAAACTGGCAAAGAGAAAACCTACTGTGTCTCTACAGTGTGAGTGTGTATGTGTCTGAAAGTAAGTGTGTGTTCTATGTGTGTGTGCTTTGCTGAATCTGCGTAGGCTCCTGTTTCAAGTGTCAGTGCAGGTAGGCAGAGGAGGAAGTGGAAGAGATGGAGGAGGAGGAGGAGGAGGTGGAAGAATAGGTGGAGGAGAAAAGGGGAGAGATCCACAGAGAAGAGCCTTGGGGCCATCCTGATACACATTCAGTACTTTCCATCACTGCATTACGTCTATGACTCACACACACACACACACACACACACACTCGCTCTCTCTCTCTTTCTCTCACACACACACCTAAAACAACAATTTTGCCCATGTACATATTTAATACACATCGTACCCACACAAACATCAAACAGCAACAAAATACACAACCCACGCACGCACACTCACAAACACACATGACACACACGTTAACACAAAAACAGAGTCTTCCTGCTCACTAAGGCAGTTGGTTTGTTGGGGGGGGGTTAAATTTGCATGGCTGGGCAAATTTTCCTTGTGTTAAACTCTAATCAGCTTCTCTATCTCTCAGACACCTGCCCAGCAAAAAACAAAACAAAACAAAAAAAAACTTAATATGCAAAACACCTTCACTCGCTCCCTCCTCCACACTGGTTCCTCCACCACCACTGTTCCTCCACCAACAGAAGACTTATTCACCTGGCCTGTCTCGCTCTTTTTACCTCAGTGTGTGCCTTCTTGCAAATTTTTATGTATGCAAATAGTCTGTTCCCCTTAAGCCTTTTTTTAACAGTAGCTTCCTGGTGCCAGAAGAAAAAAAAGAATGACTGTCTTGTCTGAGGTGTGACAAGAAATTTATGCTCCAGACGTGGATGGAGCGTCGTTGCCGTTCAGACAAACCTGTCATACTCAGGGGTTTTTGTAGGGTTAAATTACTCAAAATATAGATTTTGTAATCAAAACTTAATTTGTTAGATTGACTTGATTGACTTGTACTACTACGTCTGCATCAAGCTTGAAATTTGACCAATTCTTCTGCTTTGAAACCCTATTTGTGTGACCCTCAACATCATGCAGAGGCAGTTATGGTGATGTTAGAGATGTGGCCCAAGATCTGGAAAAATCATTCTTGAAAATGTGTGTATCATTATCAGTAAGGTGTACGGTGGTGCGGCTGCAGTGAGGTTGCCCTCTGTTTACATCTATAGTAAAGATCTGGAAAAATCATTCTTGAAAATTTGTGTATTTGTGTATGCGGCTGCAGTGAGGTTGCCCTCTATTTACATCTATAGTTTTTGCAAGTTGCTGAGACTTCGGTGACTCTCATTGTCTCTCTTAATCGTATCAAGTTGAATATTTTTCAGAAATCAACCTTAAGTTGATTTAAGAGATGAGTGTAGTTGAAAATATCAGAAATTTCTTTTTTGCATCAACATTTTATTTTGACATTATATTGTCTAAACCAAGGGCTAATCAACAACATTCTAACTTGTATTCTATCTTAAACCCTAATGAATATATACGCCTGTAACACATGCACAATATGGCATGTTATTTCAAATAAAAAAAAACCTCTGTGAGAGAATTTAATATCAGTATCCAGTACACAGTATTGCGTTCTACAGTACACGTCCTCTTGAATGTCATTTTTCTATACCACCTCTGATGCAAGGACGTCTGTTGGCTTGAATTTGTGAATCTATACATTTATTCTATAGGAATACTTCCCAAAAGGGACTTCATTTCCTGTTGTGGGTGTCAGGTGATTTACCATAAACAGGGCATAATTTGATATGGAAACAGAAAGCAGGTTGAGAGACAGAGAGAGGAAACGGAGACAGAAACTGAGAGAACGACACCGACTCCAGGCCACTGACCCTCCGTCTCTGGTCTTAAGTGATGTCTCTATTATTTTTAATGTAAAAAAAAATCAAACATTGAGAATGGCTCTTAATTAGTGCAGACATCTCGCTGTGGTGTTGATGTGGTTGTTCCTGTATCATCTGAGCAGGAAAATAAAAATGGTGCCATTTTTTTTTCTTGGTTGCTCTTGATGGACTGAGCTGATTGAGAACTCATATATACAAGTGCTCCTGCCTGCCAGAGTCGTTCTAAGCCTCCCTGAAGAGAACTGAAGATGGATGTGAGGAAAAGTGTGTGTCTGCATGTCTCTCTGAGTGTGTGTGTGTGTGTGTGTGTAGATAGGAGCCCCAGTGGACAAATAACGGACAGAGAGACATTGACAGAAAGGGAGAGAAAGAGTGAAGCACTTTAAATGTGAGCGCCTGCAAAACTCCCACTGCTCGCAAGGGCACTTCCCTCCTGTACGTCATCTCTCTTACAACCTCTCTCTCCTTCTACCCTTCTTTCTCCCTTTTTTTTCTCCCTTGACTCCCTTCCTCCCTCCCTTCATCACTTTCTCTTTTGTCTCCAAGCTCTCACCCCCATCTCCTATCTATCCATCTCCCTCTTCCCCCTCTTTCTCTCACTAAAACAGTAGGACGCTTAACCTTGATAACAGTGAGATTTTTCCCCCTCCAAGTGACACACACTCACACACACACTCACACACACACTCACTCACAACAGAGAAGTGCTTTGCCAGCATGCCAGGCCGGTCCAAGGGACGGCTGTACCCTTCGAGGTGAACAGGACACTGGGAAATGCAGCACCAACAAAACACTCTCACACACACACACATACACCGATGCACACAGATTCAATCTCTTTACCACACACACACACACACACACACGCATCCGGATCACACCAGGTCCTTCTTAACACAAGTCTTTAAAAGGCCTATTGTCAGCTGACATTGAGAGTGTTGGCTGAAATGTTACACACACACACACACGTGCAGACACACATACAGACAACAAGGTGGCAAAAGGAGAAGTATGAAAAGTGGTAACGTATTAAAGGTGAAGTTGCCTGCTGAGAAACAATGGACTGGAAGACGGTCACACGCACATTAACACCTCACCGCAGGTGATAGGTAAATCAGGAGGGGGAAGTAAAATTAGAGTTTCTCCAAACACACACACAGAACCACACGCACACACACACACTTAGGGGAACTGAGAAGTGAGGAAGAAAAACAAAACAACACCAGGTATCTGTACGGTTTTCTTCCTCATTAGATCAGAGTTTCTCTCTTGTCTCTACGTCCGGGGTCCGCACACTTTAGACCAGTGATTACCAAAGTGGGGAGCAGCCCACCTTGGAGGGCATGGAATTATTGTGTGAGGCTGGCCAGCTGCTCGAATTACATTATTTTTTTAAAATATTTTTGATATTTGTGTCACAGAGGAAGGAATTCACTGTCTTGTCATTTTTTTATTCTGTTGTTAGGAATTAGTGTTTTGAAAAAACGTTTGAAGTGATAGCTGTAAATGTGTTGATGTGGCGCGGCTGTACAGTAGTTGGATGTGGACTGTTTCATGGTGTTGTACAAGTCAGAAATACAATTCTACTTTAAATCTCTATAGTTAAAACCTCAAAATATAATGGTGCAAGGCTGAAACAAGCATTTTTGGCTTGAGACACTCGCACCAAGTGTACACAGGGACAAGTGTCCCCTCCCCTACCATGTCATGTGGTAAAATTAGCTCCTCACACAACAAAAATTAACTGTTTTTAAAAATACACAGCCTGAAGGTAGTTTTGTGTTGCTGGTGTTTACCTCAAAGTCGTTGGCCTTGTTGTAGTGCATGTTTAAGGCCCGGAAAAGCTCACAGTCGCGGCTAACGGTCAACTCGTCGGCTCCGGTGACCCCGTCGTTGATGGACTGACGGGCGAATTTCTCCATCTGGATGTAATAGAACTCCCTGAAGTTACTGAACCACTTGATCAGCTGGGAGGTTATGCAGCGATTAAACTGGGGAAAGAATCAGAAGATGTGGCGTTAGAAAATGTTCCAGGATTTATTGTGTTTTATTCAAAATAAGAATTGAAACTTTGTGTTCTTGTTAAATGAAGAAGTCACTTCTAAAAACACAACACACCTTTGGATGCAGAGAAAGAAAGTGTAAGAATGTGAGGCAGTGATTTTACATCATGGCAGAGTGATATGAGGTGATGACTTAAAAAGTACTGAACAAAAGAGGAAGAGAAGATAATAAAGACGTGGTGTTAGACACCGCGCAGTTTGGGAGGGGGTTGTGAAAGTGAGTGGTTCATCTTCCCCTCTGAGAGAAGACCTCCCCCCTATCATAACCCTAGGAGTGGAGGCAGAGGTGAAAAGGAGGGGGTCGGGGCAAGACCGCAAACACATAATTGACCAGAAAAACGATTAAGTCATCATCTGAAGCGCCCCGGCCCGCAGGGGGCTCAAACATGTACTTAACCCTGTTCACCAATTACACCCTGATTCTCCTCCCCCTCTCTGCATCAACCAGGATTGATAGAAAAGGAGCAAAATGGGGGGAAAAAAGAAAGTGAGAAAAAAAAAGACGCAGAGACTGAGGGCAGCATAGAAGGCTGTGGCTATCTGATCTGGGCTGCTCGGCTGGATTCAATGGGCGAGGTAAACCTATTAGGACTCTCGGCTTGTTCCGACTCAGGTCCCTGCAGTGAAAAACACACTGTCTAAACGTTAAAAATCCACTAGATAAAGACCTCGGGATCTGTCTTGGTCCAGTCAACATAGATTTAAAGATGAGGACATAATGTTCACGTTACTGTGAATCCAATTTGCTGACTTACTAACAAATATTGTAAACTGTGTCACCCTGAAATTGTTGATGCCGCCATCAATCTTCCATGCCCTTCATTCACACAGACACAGACACACATAGGCCTTTAACCACCCCCCACCCCCTCTCTTTTTTGTGATGCTAGAAGAATGGACGGACAAAACACTACTAAATGCTGAGCGGACTGCTCGCTGGGGAGGCAGAGTGGTTTTGACATGGAGATTAGGCTTCAGCTATTGTCCGACACACACACAAAAAATCATGCACACCCTCCGCGATCTGGTGTGGTGAAAACACAGACACATGGCCGCACATAATGTTAAGACGGAGTGGCAGCAGAACAGGAAGGTTGTAAGGAAAGTGAGAAGACGCTGTGCCGAGGTGGGCCGGGGGCTGGAGCGGAGGGCTGCGCCTTCCTGGAGTGATGACATAATGGCAGAACGGAGAAGAAAAAGTCGACCTGACATTGTTTGACAGAGGTTTGGGAGGGTGTGTGTAGGGGGGGGGGCGGAGTCCTAAAGTGCAGGGTTAGCATAAATGGGGAAACGAGGGATGGAGGGAGGGAGGAGAGGGCTGGGGAGAAGAGGGACGGGTGCAGGTCAGCGCTGTCGGACAATGGCGCTTTGCTTGTGGGGGGGATTGGAACGTGAGCAGTCAGCAAGCTGAGGTCGTGACATCGGAGTGTCAAACAAACAATCTACTGACACAGATACATGGGCTACACGGGTCTGTACTTAAAAACATGCACCTCGTAGCCCACAGTTTCACCACAAATACAGTTTTACACTTAAGTTATTGGTTCTTTATGTGTGAGATCAGACTGTGTGTTTTACAGTTTTTTAGATTTATATACGTGTGTGTCTGTGTGTGTGTACATGCATCTAAGAGGTGCATACTGAGATTAAAGTCAGTAAAGAGTTGCCATCGCTCATGCAGGAGACCTTTGGTGTCAGTGGAGCTGAGTGACGGATAGAATTGTCACTTGGACCAGAATTGCTTTATTATACGGACGGCTGAGGAGAAGACGTATTACAGCTGGTGTATTTAGAGTGAGTAGCACAATGTACACTAAGGTGTATTTAAAGGTACACACAGGTAAAATACATTACATCTGTATCTGCTGCATTAAAACAAACTGGGACTTAATGAAAGCAAGGCTTTTGGTTTTGCCAAAAAGCCTTGCTTCATTAAGTTGCTGGTAGGGGGACAGAGCCCCCACCCCTAATAACAGCTAAGGACGAGTGCTTTCAGTGTAAAAGGAAGGAACCGGTTCAAAGAAGCTCGTCACTACAGCTCCTTAATCGGAGCTGGCAGGGGTCAGTCAGCACAGACATGATACGCAGTGAAGAAAGCGCGTGTGTGAGTGTGATTCTACGCACTCCATTTAAGCAGGATGTTTAAGAGAGTATGGTGTGTGTGCGCGCGCGCATGTTTGTCATGTACGTCTCGCTGAGAGGCAGATGAGAGAGAGACAACCAGAGCATGTTTCTCACACTCACACTCAAGAGCCTGTGAAAGGTCAGAGCTTAGTGCTAACAGTGCAAGATAAAAAAGTGGTATAAACACACACACACACACACACGTTCTGCTCATGGACAGAGACAAACTGTACTCCGGTCCAGAAATAGAAAAACACTCAATTATCCGTGGTCAAACAAGAAGCATCTGAAAAACCTTTTGTCTTAGTTACTACACTGTGGCACAGAGGAAAATAATTGAAGAATTAGCAGGTGATTCATATGGTCAAAATAAAAATGGACTTTTTTGTATAATAAGAAAAGACAGAGAAGACTGTATAGGCCTCTCTCCTGTTCTCTATCCCCTCCTCTCCCCTAAGCCCCTTCACTGTCATCATGGCTCTCCAACATTTCCTGTTTTTACAGAGGTGAATTGTGGGAGATAATCTCTGGCAGCCTATTGGCCAAGTGCACAAAAAGCTGGCCTGGAAAGCGATCTTTTGTTGCGTGACTCAAAATAATTCGGCTTCTATTTTTTACCTAACACAGCAGGGGCACACCATCAGCAGAAAAGAAAAAAAAAACAACAGGAATGACATGTAGAAAAGGGGAACGACCTCCTGACCTCAACAATCCCATACAGCATCACCACTAATCTACAATTTGTCTCATTAAAAGAACCATAGAAAGACAGTATTCCCTAATGATTTGGCTTGGTGTTAAACAATCATAATCACACAATATACGGCACTTTCAATGCCAGAGCCTATAGTCTCTGCACTTCAATATAATTGCACAATTCAAACCACCAATCGGGACTGATGATGCGGTGATACTGTGGGCGCGACAGTACAACAGTGCTATTTTAACGCATTTGTCAAAACAGTTTAAAAACACCAAAAGTCACCGAGGAAAGTCAGAATCACCATGAAAGGAACTTAATCAAGGAGAAAACCAGCTTCATCACCCCCCCAGTTGTTGGGGGTCACCCACTTCCCACGTTCATTAGGTTCCTGACAGTAGCCGAGACCTGATTATCCTTCAAGACTTTTGTGTCATTTGCTAAGAGGCTGAATCTAATTAGATAATCAGTCTCATTCCCATACATGTCTACTAACTTACAGCTTGAGTCCATTGTTCACCATAAAAACAAAAACAAACTAATGTGACTCATAATCCCCCCTAATGGATTGACCCTGTTTAAGTATCTGATGGGGCCATTCATTAGGGGGTGGGGCTCCTTCGCAATGGTTAATTGATGGAATTAGGTGAAGAAAAACCCTATAAATAATTGATGGTATACTCTGGATACTCTCCCTATAAATAATTGATGGTATACTCTGAAACTATCATAACAGTATGAAAAATGACAACTTTTGTAAAAATAAAAAATAACTACAGTTTAGAAAAGTATTTTCCCAACCAATAAAGCCATCCAATCGTAATCATGCGAGCCTCGCCCCAGAAGGTTGGCTATGACTGCTTCCATGAGGGGGCAGCTGTGAGAAAAGAGAACCTTTATCTCCTGATTAGAATAAGATGGCCTGGATCTGTCACCGTGTTTACCCTTCCGTATGGTCTGAGAGGAACAGAGACACAAAAACAAGCACATCCCAGACAGTTGCCAACTCAACAACGAGCATTTTGTTGTTTTTTGTTTTTTGTACAGCCTACAAGTTGCGCTTTGTTTTGTAAACTTCCTTCATTAGAAATGCAGTGTAATTAAAGCTCCTCCCTTTCTAGATTACTAAACCAAATCTGTTTTGCACTTCTCTCCTCCAGCCCTCTGTTTCTGGCCTCCTTCTTAATATATATATTATTCATATGCTTTTACATTTTCTCATGTGCACGAGAAAACACAGGAAGAGTTGTTTCTGTTGGTTGTGAAAGCAGCCGCTCCAAATAAATCCCTCTCTGTATTTAGTGCCGTTGCAGTGTGCAAGAAAAAATCTGTTGCTTGGTGACATCATGGCTTTGTGTTTCACTGCTCAGCGGTCATATGGAATCTAAAGTTTCCTCTAGCTTAAAGATTGTGTAATGATGAAATGTGAAGAAGTGTACTGTAAACTTGGTCAGCCACCAGTGTGGATATTATTATTTTTTGTAATAACTGGACATGCACTGAGTTCTTGTTAAGACGGATGATGTTGATTTACACTTATGATGACATTTTGAGCACATTGGTCACAGCGACAGTGTAATAACTTGTTTCTAGTTTAATTCACAGCCAGAAGTACTACTACAAGACACTGATAATGACACACAAACTGTGTTGAAGTTGAAAATTCATGGAATTTTCATTAGAATAATAAAAACATATATTTTGTAGGCAACACTAGTGTTCACTCACCTTGACATCAGCGAAGAACATCTTCAGCATATTTGAACTCGGGTAGCGTGTGTAGAAAAACATGAGTTTTGCCTTCTTTAGGTGATTGGGGGAAAGACCCTCCTGAATCTGCAAAAAAACTACTGTTAAGGAAATCAACAGGAAAAAGTGGAAAAACAAATGTAGGAAAAATATGTATTTTAACCAGACTCTAGTCTTGTGAATATTTGTCCGTGTACTGGGCAAGAAGGAAAGAGGAGATGAAAGGAAAACAAATGTTGTGGCAGGCATGGACGTGTGATGAGAGATTTGGAAAGGGGGAGATGGGAGGAGGGCTGAAGACATCGCACCAGTGTAAAGACCATTTGCTTGCAATTAGCATTGTCCGTATCAGGTGCAAGAGCGTCATGGTAAATATAGTCCTGACCAGCACTACAACCGATGCTTTTACATAAGGAGGCTCATTTCACAGTCAAAGTAAGCAAACGCCTTTGCCTACACCCTGCGCTCACCTCCACCCCCCCAAAAAAGGAAGAAGCAAAAAGGATATATTTGCATATCACACACAAAGACTGCAGTTAACACCAGTGACAGGCAAGAAGGCCTAATGGGTTGGCGACAACACATGCCAAGCCAGAATATGACTGTCTAATGTTGGCTTCATATCAGTGAAAAAAACAAGGTTTAGGAGATAGAAGCTAACACTGGCCCCAGCAGCACAGGAAACCTTCCCACACTCACACAGGCCATATTCAAATACGTGTCAGAGGCCTTGTCCTCCTAATGGATCGCCTGGATTGAACAGCACAGAGGATGGAGATGGGCTCATGGGGGCACCTTGAGGGAAAGTATGGTTCCAACCTTCAATTACATCCCCCTCCTCCTCCCTCTGCTCCACCCCTACCCCACAGCCCCTCTGCTGCTGCTGCTGCCAAACCCTTGGAGGAGCAAAAGAAGGAGGAGGAAAAGGAAAAGAGGGGCTCTAAGGCTTTGGCCTCAGCCCGAGATGGGGGACTGAAACACATCTGCGACACCGACCGGCCCAAGCCATTTCCACGGTGAATTAACGGCCGTATAATGCATCTGATAATATCAATCTGGAGGATAAGACATTGAAAGGGAACAGGGTTGGGGTGGGTGGGCTACACGGTAAAAACCTGAGGCTCATCCAACAAGAAGCTAGACAGGCCGGTTAATCACAGAAAAGATGCAACTCAAGTTTTCATGAAGATTGTTTACACTTGAGTGGACAAAATACATTGCCTTTGACTTCTGTCTGTGATCTATGGGGAGGCTGTGATCGTTAAAATCAGTCAAGTGTCCAGATGTAGCTGTAACTATAGAGTAGACGGAAGGCATCAGCTGCTAGATTGGATTGCCCTTGGCCTCAGGGTTACATGGCAAAGCCAGCAAATGCTGCACCACACCGGGCTGGCTCCTTAAAGACCCTGTCTACTTTGTCTGATTCACTGAAAGAGAGGGAGGAAGAGAGACTTAGTTGTGTACGCAGGAAGGGTCTTGTGGGGGAAACCCTGGCAGACTGGTGCTACTCTGTCAGGCCTGGCCAAAAGAGCAGCACTTCACTCTCCAGACCTTACCATCTGCTCCAAGTGGAGGGAATACAATGGCTCCTCAGACAGAGACAGAGACAGAAAAAGACAGCTCTCTGCACTGAGGCAAAGAGTGATTTTTTTTTTTTTTTGCTGTGGTGACAATGAACGTATACTGAAGGCAGTAAATTGTTCATATTTTGTCACATGGATCAAAATTGCTTTCTTTGTTTAACTGAAATAATTAATCATTGCTAAAAGAAAACCAAGACATTAACTCTACAGCCATAAAGGCCATTTCACTTCCCTTCAGACGACTGTTAGGGAGCTTCACACCTCCTGATGAGACATTTTCATTTGTAGTTCGTTCACAGCTTGCAAATGTAATTGTGATTGGACTTAAGGGTGGCTTGCAAGGCTATTATTTTGTCATGATGGTGCGCTCATACCAGCTGGCCCACTGTTTGCCTGCTACATCTGACAAGACATCACCCTTCCAACAGCACTTCCCCAAAGCCCAAAGTCATGGGAGGAAATTATCTGTTCCACTTCCAAGTTCCAGGTGTAAAGACAAGAAGATTTGGAGTCTGTGTGAGAACAAATGAGGAAATTGATGGAGGGCATCTGTTCTACCACACAGCTGACAACAAGTAAACCTATGTACACCACGGAAGGTGTCTGACTCGGGGTGTGATGCTAGAGGTTTATAAAAAAAATATATAAAATCTATCTATCCATATCTATATCCATCTATTCTTACATCACAAAAACAAAACCAGACAGGGATGATTGAGAACAGTTTAGCAGCTACGGTGATTTTTAATATAGCCACAAAGATCTGTTGAATTTAAAATTTCAGTTAAACCACTGGGAAGTTGTCTTTTTCCTGATAAGTAAAGGTGCATTCATGTTACTTTATTATGCATTTTACTTATTAAATTGTAACAGCGAATGCCATGAATTTTAAAATCTTACAATGACAGCCGTGGCATCTGGTGCATGTGGTTATTGTCTGAATGTTTTTACTTTTCTAATTCTGTATATGTCTCTCTCTCTCTCTCTTTCTCTCTCCCCTTTCTTCCCTTTTCATCCCTCCATCGGGAACTCATAGAAGCAAAGGATTATGGATCTCTGGAAAGCGTTCACCCTTGGGTCAGAAGACAAGACAAGGCAAGGTAATGAAAGATAAACAGCTCGCTGCAAACACCTGTTAACGTCCGCTTCAAAGAAAAGGCAGGGAGGAGGGGGGGGCGTGCAGGGAGGGAAAACAAAAAAAGAAGTATTTGGCTGCCAAGCAACAGCCAAAGGGCCCCCCGGGCTGTTGACAGATCTTTATGAAATGAAAAAAAGAGAAAAGAAACGACAATGATTGTGGGCTTTTTACAACAGCGATGGATGATAAGAGGAACACAAGAGAAAACACAAGCAATCATAAATATACACCTTTACCAAGTCCTCAGGCGAACCTTCTGTGACATGAACACACAAAGACAACACAAACACATACGCGCAATGAGGAAAAGCGCTCAGGTGAAACACAAGAAGAGAGAAAATGGGAAATCCTAAGGTTCAATATTCACATGTTTTGAACTCATGTCCACCTCCAAGTTAAAGGATTAGTCTCTTGAGCATGTAATGAATTTTAATGAATTGAAAAGAAGGTTGTCTGAGGACTGCCTGTGTGACACAAATCAAACTTTCATGGAGGTTAACAGGTCTTCTATACTTAGTGGCAAGGAGGTATGGGCAAGAAGAGAAGGAGTTGAATGGGTCTGTTTAGGCTACTAGTCCTTAGTCCCCAGGGGCCTTAATCTGAGCCTCCCTCAGGGGATAACCTCTTTTTTTTGCAGGGCATGATTGGGGCACACTGGGGTTAAACTATAAGAGAGGCCATATAACACCATTGTCTGCCAAGTTTCAGGATGCTATCTACATCCTTGTTCTTTCAGGTCACTTTTGACTTTAAAAAAAAAGAACTGGGACAGTAAATGTCTTGGGGACCAAATCTTCATGAGTAAGTGATATGTGACAAGAGAGCGGTTAAAAGCTCTCCGGACTGAAGATGGATGGAAGAACGGTGAGAAGGAAGCGTTACACATTTAAAAATAAATAAAACAATACAACAGTGGAGCAGAGAACAGCAGTGGGAGTAGAAGTGATTCATCAACAGTTTTGTTGCTTCTTCTGCTTCAAAAAGCCCTAGAAGATTAGAATTTTAAGTATTTGTGCTTCAGATGTGATGTTCTTCACTTGTGTCTGTAGGGTAATACTTTGTGAAGAGTTTTCCTGGCCAACTTAAACAGGAGATAATCTCAACGGAACGCTGGCCACACACATATTCAGTTATTTCTGTGAGGCCTGGCCAAAAACACAACATTACTTTAAAGGATACATTGCTGCTTGAGTATGGTGAGATGTCAGCCATGTCCGGGAGATCACTGCACTCAGACTTGATGAGGGACAGGGACAGACTCTCTGCTGTGCTGCCAGGGTGGGCTGGTGAACAAGAGCGATGGTGGTGCCCCAGGTGGTGACCTGAAGCCATCTTTGTCCTCAGGCTGGTGGTCTCCCGGGACAGGTCCATGGAGTCTGGAGAAGATCGATCCTTTCCTGGGTAAACACCCGCGGGTGCACCCAGTGAACTCTGGAAAGGGTAGCCCATGAGGGGCAGTGGAAATGGGTGTCTGAATGATGGGGGACTGAAACCCATGGAGGCTGAGAGAGAAGATGGGTGTAGGGCTGGGTGGTGGTGACCGCCGTGAGCGCCCACAGCTGAGGACTGGTGGTGGTGATGGTGGTCACTGGGGGTCTTCCTGACAACCAAGGGCAACGCTTCTGTTTGGTCATTAGTGGGTCCTGGCATCCCAGGCATGCTGGCAAAGGTGTCAAGTGGATTGGGAATGATGACATCGCCGAAACATTGCAGCCTCTGGTTGGTGGTGTGGAAATTAGGGTTGTTGCCGTTGACAGTAGGAGGGAATCTGTCTGGAGGTATGGAAAGTGGGGGGAAGGCCTGCTGAGGTGTAGGGCGAGGAGGTTTAGCGAACACTTTGACCACTGTGTCCACTACATGGGTCATGGCTGAGTTGAGTTCTTGCTTCAGTGTTTCTGCCAGGTGTTTTCCTTCAGTATGCATGGAGGAGCCTGGACCTCCTTGAGCTTTGCTGCGGCTGTTCCCCTCTCTCCTTGGCTTTTCTCCATCAGCCAGCAAATCCTGCTCTTGAAGCAATGCTCGTGCCCTGCTCAGAAAATGGCCTGGGTCCAGGTCAGACACCTCATTGTCCGAGCGCAAGTCATCTCCACCCCGGTCGTCACCGCCAGTGTCAGACCTGGTTGGGCTGTCCTCAGACATGTTTCCTATGTCATTGAGAAGGTCGTTGTGGAGGTCTGTATGTTCTGAGTCATCGGTTGAGTCATAGATCTGAAAGAACTTCTCCTGCAGCTGACGTAACTGTTTCTGCATGTCCTCCAGCTGCAGCTTCAGCTGTCGCCGCTCCTCCTGCTTTTGTTCCTTCCTCTGGCAGACCAACTGAGTGAAGCTCTGCTGTTGCTGCTGCGGCAAACGCTGTTTACGTTTGTTCTCTCGACTGCTGCTGTTGCTGCTGCACACCTCGCCTCCCCTTGGACTGCTGGGGGCCTGTTGCTGAGACTGAGGAGGTGGACAGTTGAGCTCCATCTCCCGCTCCCTGTCCATCTCATGGTCACGTTCGTGCCGGGAAATAGCAGGCACCACCACACTAGGGGAATGGCTCATGCCTCGTATAATGTTCTCCACCCGGGCCCGTTTGGCACGCAGGTGTTCATCGTTGAGGCGTTCAATGTCAAAAGTGGCCAGGCCAGGAGGGCGGCCAAATGGGGACAGGCACTCTTGAGGAGTGCTTCCTTGAGATGAGTTACTGCATGCGTCCTCATGAGGAGGATCTGAGCTTGCATTTGAGAGCCCTGATCCAGGAAAGCCTGATTCTACCCTGTCACCTCTGTCTCCTCTTTCCAACCTCTCCGGCCCTCCTCCATTTTTTGCCATGTTGTTTTTGAGAAGCTGAGAGATGATGGTGGTGCCAGGAAAGGGCATCATTGTGTCTTCGTATGAGTTAGCCCTCTTCAGTAGCTTTCTCAGTACATTGGACTTGGACTCGCTGTCACCATGTGGCTGCACCACAGAGCACTCCATGGAGTCTGTGTCTGGTCCGTGGTGAGAGTGGGAACTCAGAGAGTTCATGGCACTGAAAATGGCAGCTTTGGCGCGAGCAATGCTATCTGTGGTCACTGTTGTGGCTGCTGCTGCTGCGGAGGCAGTGCTACCCACGGTCCTCTTTACACCAATGTCCACACGTCTTCGCTTGGTCTGTCTGTTCAGAAAGGAGTCGCTGTCATGGTCCGGCATCACGGGCTCCTGCTATTGGGCCATATCCCATAAACCCAGTCCGCTTTGATTAATACCTCTGAATACCTGTGGGTAAAACAAATTGATGCGTGACTCATTTAAACATATTTTTAGACTTGATTTCTAGAGGTGTAGTGTTCACTTAGGTCAAGTCATTTACTGACATTTGCAGTAGTGTTCACTGAAAGCCTTGAAAGAATTGAATAGAATAAACACAGTCTGATCATAACTGAATTTGTTGATAGTACAGACAGAAAAACGTGTTGAAAAAAGTGTTGTTTTTCTCATGCCAGGCGGTGAGACCTTTTTCTCTTTCATTTCTATCTTTAATTAAAGACAGACATGTAGGAATACATTTGGAAAGTAAAGTCTGATGACACAGGGCTGAAGGGAGCGGGCGACATGGGGGTCAGAATTAGGCCTTGGCTCTACATTCCAGGGCAAAGTCCTACATTTTATCCTGTCCCCTGTTACACGCCGTGCGACACTGAACCAGTTCCCATGAAACACAAAGCTGCATAAAATTATGATAATTAGTTAAGTACTTGTCCTCATTTCCCTGTTTGTATAGTGTGAGCCAGCAAATGATAGACTAACTCTTGTAATTAAGAAAAATTAAAAGGTGATTAATGTTGTCTTCAAAACTGCATATTCTGTTAACAAGACGGTGTAAAATAATCCTTCTTTCCCCTAAATTAGGTCACATTAATATTGGGGTTTTTTTTAAGCCATATGACATGTTAAATTTAAAAAAACGGGGAAAAAATGCCTCGCACACATTTATCAATATGGCCATCATATCCTGAGCAGTGAGGAGAGTGACACACAAAAGAAACGCAAAATAAGCCTATTGATTTTGGTGCCAGCGTGAGCTCACTTGTGTGTTTTTGTTTGTCTTTTCATCTGGCAAGGGCAGTTAATTCTGCTCAAATGAATGGGTCAAAAGGGTCACCCCTGGCAAGGAGCAACTTAAAGCATTTCTACAAAAAAAAAAAAAAAAAAAAATCCTAATGCCCATCTGAAAGCAAAACGTTTTGTCACAACCACAGGCCTGCGTGAATAATGCTTTATAACTGGTGGCAGAATCTCAGATTCCACAAGGATTTTCTCTGGAATTTCAGTTAAACCTTATTATTTATCAGTTAAAAATAAAATATACTTTAACAATTTGCAGCATAATTGTTTTATAGTAGTGCAATATTTTGCTTGTGCCTTTTTGCCTTCTCAGAAAGCACAGACCATCGGAAAAGAAATCTGAAATGTAAAAAAAAAAACGAAACATAATTTTCAGGCTTTAAAAACTGTTTAAAATCTAAAAATATGTGATTTATATGAATTAAATAAATTATTTAATGCACGGTATGAATATAACTCAGATAAATAGAACAGGCTCAGCTCATGTGGGAAGTCACGGCAGCTGATAATAAAATCACAACTTAGGCTCAACAACTAAATTTGGTCTTTTTTTCTAAAGCTGACGTTTTCTTACACGGTCACAGTGTGAACTGATAGTTTCACAAAATTAAGCGGCTCCAGACGCGTTAAAAAACAACAGGCAAACACGCGTAACTGTGACACTGTGCAGTTCAACGCCGTGGAACAAAACTACTCAGACATTTGCTCACAGATCAACTTTGAGTAAATTACCAGTTTGTGGAAATCAGAACAGTCCAAATTACTTTGTCATCGGCCGAATTGACTCAAACTCCTTAAAAGGCATCATGTAGCAGTAGAATTCTAAAATAAAACCCTCTGATAAATAGCTTTGGCCCACGTCTTGACAGCCGTACAGACAAGGTGATACATCTCAAGGAAAAAAAAACTGATTTGATTGCCCTGGGATCTTAACAAAGGGCTTGAAATAGTCACCATGGCACCTGTCTTTTCTGACTGTGCACCTGTCTTGTATTACCCATTCTCTCTCTCTTCCTCTCTCCCAGTCTCTCTCTCTCTCTCTCTCTTTCTTTTTTTCCTTCTCCCAAAACACCTTTTAATCATCTACAACACACATGATCACTGTGCGTCTCTAACATCCATGCCAAAACGCTTCACTCACAAAAAGCCCAAATAGCATGTCAACAAATAACAATCACAGTGTTTCTCTGTTACAAACTTTGTCTACAAGAAGACACTTTTTAAGCAAAATATATCAAAATGGCCTTTATTTATGAAATAAAAAGGAACTAAAGTTTTTCTGTTGCGATAGATATCGCTAAAAGAATGTAAGTTTAATCATTGTTTACTAAAGTTTTTCTGTTGCGATAGATATTGCTAATAAAATGTAAGTTTAATCATGGCAATAATGGCAAGCTCCTTATTTGTGTACATAAGGTGGTAAATACGATGCACAAATTCTGATTGGATTTGTCCATCTTTTTTCATATTTTTAAGAAACAATTTTACTTCACAAAAACCATTACACTAATAGTGTAAAACACCTAGATTCTTTACAATATATATTTTTTAAATTAATTTTTTGACTTACTTATATACTTATAATTTAATCAAGTTAAATCTTTCAGCAAATGATTTAGTGACCTTAAAGAAAAAAAAAAAGGAAGCTCGCTGGGTGATCCATTATATGTGAACTTCTGCTCTGTGAGTCTGTAAAACTGCCCTTTACTGTCTCTCTGGCTGCCACAGCACAGACTGAGGCACTAAACCCCATTGGAGACTCTCACTTCCAACAATACACCAGCAGTTCTTTTGTCACAGCTGTCCGTGAAAGAGTTGGCAAACAACTCTATCACCAAATACAAAAGAAAAAAGAAAAAACTGGATGTGAAGTGTTCCAAAAATTGCCTGCGTCAATGATTAAAAAACATTATTTTCATGTATTTAAATAATATTACTCCTTAGGATGAAGGCGAAGATGTTTTTCAACTTTCATATGCAATCAAAAAACACAAGAAACATGTAAAATCGTACTGGAAGTTGAGGAAAGGCTGCGTTAACTTATTCCACAAAGTTACAAATCAACTTGATCTGCGCTTTGATGAGGAAGGCTGGGCTATTTTTTTTTTACTGTCCGCAAATCACTCTTCGGGAAAAAAAGCGCAGCTCTGCGCACACGAACTCCAACCTCACAGAGAGGAGAGAGGAACCAAACAGAGCCGACTGTGACCTACAGAGAGTCGACGTGATGGTTTGATGAGAAGAATGTTTTATTTACCCCTAACAACGTCTGTCTGGGGGCTTTTTGCCCCACTGTGCTCGGGCGACACAACAAAAACAAGAAGCAGAGAGGGAGGTATGAGCCAGAACAAGGGTACTTACCCTTTAAATGGAGAGAGGGAGCACAAACTGGACTCCTGCGGCCAAAAGACGGGGATAATGTGGATGGAACGGAGCGCGTTCTGCCGCTGAGAGCCGAGACCTTGTCGCAGGAGGAGGAGGACCGCGAGGGAGAAAGTCAGCGACGCGAGCGAAAGGAAGAAAATGGGCAAAAGACAGAAGATGGGAAGAGTTGTTCTTCTCGCGCGTCGGTGTCTCCCCTCGGTGCCCTGCTGTGACTGAGAGAGCGAGAGACATAGAAAGTGAGTGTTAGAGACAGAAAGAAAGAGCGAGAGAGCGACGCTGAGCTCGTGCGTCTCCGAGGCGCACTGGATGCAGAGCTGTGGATGCTGAAGCGCTCCTCCGCCACTAAGATTCACTTTAAGACGCGGCTGAAGGAAACAGGAAGACGTGCGCGTCATGAGCGCCGTGATGTAACTGTCGCAACCTACCAATAAGAGGCGTCCGTCCGGTCCAGGGAAGAGCGCACTGAACTTGACCAGAGACTGAGACTGAGAGAGAGAGAGGAGAGAGAGAGAGAGAGAGAGAGGGGAAAGAGAAGGATGGATGGAAAAAGGAAACAGAACTCTTTACTAATCTCTTTCTTTTCAAAGCGACGGCCGTGGCAGTAAGGACGGTGGACATGACACCACTTAGTCCAGAAGATAACGCACGATGATGTGCTGTGTCCTCGTTCATTCATTCATTTGTTGCCGCTTGATTTTATTTTTTAACTTTAATTGAAAAAAAGTACAATTTAAAAAAGTATTATTTTAAATCGATTTTTAAGACATCTGTAGTATCTTTGAACTTTAAAGAGCAAAAAAAAAAAAAAAAAAAAAAGCACCGGGGAAATAACAAGTCGATTTTATAACGAGCAGCAGCAGTGAGTGAGTGAGTCCTGTAAATAAAGTCTACAGACTTCCATTATGAAATATGTTATTATATTTCACAGCGCTAACGATCTGCGTCCACACTTCTTTAATGCCGCTTTATTACGACTACAGGAGTCAATAAAATGCATTGACATCCATTAAAACTTTGTGGTTCTACAAATAAGTTCTTCAAATCGTCTCTGTTAAGGTTAAAGAATCGCTTTATTTTTTTTAAAATAAAAATCCAACAAATATTTAGACTCACTTTGGTGTTTGGAGATTTGTGTCACGCACACTTTTTACTCATCACTAACCACTAGAATTTTCATCTATGAGCATCAATTAAAGCAGCGGCGCAATTTCTCATCTTTCTTTTGGAATATCCTTGATCCACGGGAGACTTTTTAATTTTTTTTGTGGAACTCCGCGGATCTTCGTGAAAACCTGTTCCTTGGATCCACAACCTGCTGCCACTGACAGATTCCCGTGCGTAAAAATGTTTAGCCAGAAATTATTATTATTATTATTGGATGAAGCCGACAGTAAATTCAAACACAGGATTAATATTTGCGTTTTTACGAATGCGGAAAAAATAATTTTGTAGTGAATTGTTCCATTCTTTCTCTCCTTTTTTGGAGAACTTGTGTGTGTGTGTGTGTGTGTGCACCTGTGACACAGCCGCGCTCTGCGCACTTTGACACTTGATCCTGTCACATGAACCAGTTTAATGCTGCTGATTTATCAAATACTGAAGAATAGTTTCATAGTTTACACCTGCGCAAATGAAAACCCGTTTCAACGCTGTCCGAATAGTTAAACCTGCACAACAGGTACATATGATCAGAGTATTTGTCAAATCTTCTTTTGTCTGATTTTAATTATTTTCATGTAGAAAATATTCAATTTATCTCATGGAAACCGATTCCTGGATCATAAGGTCTCAGAACTGCGTCGCCAACGGTTCAACTTTACGCAGGGATCAAACACGACAAATAGATCTCTTCATTAAAGCAGCGGCTATTTTTCTGCTATTTATCTAATTATACTTTTTTTGTTCTTATTATTATTATTATTATGGGTAAATAGATTTGTATTTTTCCTGCACATCTGTCGACTGACAGAAATAAAACATTTGTACTTTCAACACCAGTCTTTACGCACACGCCTTTTCTCTACATCATTCTTTTGTCTTCTTTTTTTCTTTTTTTAATTCCACAAACAGGATCCTAAAGTACTTAACCAGAAATCTTATTTTCCATATTCCTGCTACTGCCAGGTGCCAAAAAGGAAAAAGGCGAGTCTCTTTTCCATGTCGCAAAGCAAGTGTATTTTTATTAGGACCAACGAATTGTAACGAAGTCAGCAAAGTCTGTGTGTTTGGAGTGTCTTTTCCAAAGCAGGTGTCCCGGCCCCCTGCTCCCCTCACTGGCCTGTGGCTGATTTGGCCTCGGCTCCCCTTGTTGCCACCTCCGCGCGCGCGCGCGCACACACACACACACACATACACACACATACACATATACACACACACGAACGCACATGCAGGCTGGAAAAACAGGCAGGGACATTAAAGAAACGCGTGTTTGTAAAAGGAAGACTGTGATGAGGTGCACGGGAAACGTGCTGGTTAACACCGACTGCTCTTATCGCGGCCCATTCCAGGTGGATCAGCGCGCGTATTTATTCCAAACCCACTCTCTCTTATGAGGTCGAGCTGTAGTGTGACACACCTCGGTGCCCAAGACTGATAATGCGCTCTGGCACCGCTGCAGTGATGGCTGAATTTACTGACATATTTATTAGAGTCGGGCCCAAATGAAGGAGGAGGGAAGCGGTGAAAACTGTATTCCTCCCCGAGGTGTTGTTAAAGGTACGGTTTTAGCAGAGTCAGACCGCAAATAAGATCCAGTTATCTGTGTTCACCTGTTTTATATTATTATTATTATTATTTATTCATTCTAATATTATTATTACAATTATTATTGTGAACGCAGAGACCAGAGTTGTGTTCCCTGTATTTAAGTTCCTCAAATTGTAATTGATTGAAAGAATGAATATTATCTCTCCAGCAGCAGCAGCAGCAGCAGAGATTGTAAAATTGGACTTAATCAAATAATGACTTGATGAGCTCCTGGAACAACAACAGCTCCACACACACACACACACAGAAGCACGTAGACAGAGAGAGCTATTTGCAAGAACCTAAGCTGAGAGAAATGGTAGCACTAAAAGCTGTTTTGTTCATAAGAGGTCTCCGGGTCTCTGAATAAAAAGGTTTAGGACACAGGACAGAGGAGAGGAGAGGAACGGAGGATACAGGATTATTTTTTTCTGAGTGTAATAAGTGTGTAGGCGTCTGACTCTTTGCATGTCCTCTTAAGTCCTCGTTGAGCCCCAGCCTGTGCAGGACTTGATATATTCATCAGCTTCCACTGTGACCAAGGTGAGAGTGATGTGGGCTTTTTTTTTTTTTTAAATGCAGTTGCTTTTTGTTGATGAGAAGAAAAAATACATTTCAGAAAAGGAGAATGATGATGTAAGAAAACTGCAATAAAATAGCACAGCAATTTGCCTGATTATGGACATTACTTCATGCCCCACTGTGACCCACATCTCCCATATAGGCCGTGTGTGTGTGTGTGTGTGTGTGTCCCTGCGTGTGAAAGAGAGAGATAGAGTTCTCTGTGCTTTGTTTTCGACACACACTTGCATTCACATGTATTATTTGCATGAATGGACACTGACTGTAGTTGCAGAAGCAAATCTACAGAGAACTACTGTTGGAGGGCAGACATTTTAATTATAATGGGTTTTTTGTGCAGGGGTTTTTAATGCAACAATTTAAGAGTTTCACTTAAACTTTTTTTCACCTTTGCTTTTATGGACATTTTCTGAAGCTTCATTTCAGATTTAACACAAAACAAAAGTCAGATTTTTATCCATGTTGTTCCACAAAGTCCTTTGCATTGACCTGGTATAAGTTGCTGTTCATCAGTCTATATGTTTAGTTAAGGATTTTAAGCAACGACTTCTTCATATTCAATCCTCTGACCTGTGTTCTCATATTCTTCTTTTTTTTGTAGTTCCTGTCGACATCATGAGGATCCTCGTTCCCTGAAGAACATCCCAACAAGGTACTGCACCTCCACATCTCTGTCTGACTGTGACAACCTGGTTCTTTGCATTTTCCAACACCTGCAACACTTTTCACTTTTCTGACCAGGAACTTTATCTCCTCTCAGTCTTTCGCTCAGTTGTTCTTAGCAGACTTCAGTTTTGGGTGGAGTCAAATTTTTCCAGTTTCACTCATGCACGGTCACAGACTCTTCTGACTACAGACAGGGCTATAATGCTGTTTCACGCAAGTAAGAAAAAACGTAAGTGTACTCTAACTGCCGTGATGAGTAAAAGGCAGAAAAAAAATGGGCGAGGGGGGGGGTGTTGTGAAGTTCATAAAGAGTAAGTCATTGTTTTCCGTATGCAGAGGGAAAAGCCCATTTACTCTGCACTGTATTTACGTTTCACCAGTTCGTACTGTAGTTAATGGGCAATTACGGCAGCGCTGCTCAGTGATGGTGAAGGAGATGTGACTGTAGTTATATCTCATTAAAATCATACAGGTCAAGCTGTAGATGTAGGCTCTTTGTAGGCCTACGCTGTCTGAGAATCACTTTGTTTTTTTTATGTTTCTTTGTCTTAAAATTGAGCTGTAATAGTTAGGAATGCAGTGAAGGGCACTCTCTCACACACACACTCACACACACACTCACACACACAGTGTGCGCCTTGGAGGTGCTCTCTGGAAAGACATGCAGGGATATCGCCTGGAACTGAATTAAGCCTGACGTCCTTAAAACAAACAATGGCTCCATGAAATAAGGGCTTATGTGCTCAAAGTCAAAGAGCCCCCTCAGCAACTCTCCCTCTTTACCCCCACCCCCTTCCCCACCACTCCCCACACACAGACATTTATTTTTTAGGGGTGTGTTGCATACTAAGGCGGCTCCAATGGGGGCCTGGGGGGGCGTGGACCAACTTTGTTCCTGTGAACTCTCACCTGTCAACATGCTGCCGAGGACTTTACTTGGTAAACATGGAAGGACTTTATCTGTTTACTCGTAGCTCTGGAAGTCTGTGTCCAGTGAGATGAACTTCTTTTAAAACAAAGTTACAGCTATTTTATGAAAGTACAATTTGGTATCTCATTTTGATTGGTTGAAATTGTGTATTTTCTCAGTCCGTGCAGCTCTCTACTGCCCTTGTGTGTCACGCATCTAATCTAATTCTCTGTGTGTGGCGGTGCGTCCGTCTGAAGGTACTGATGCTACTCCCTCTCTGTAGAGATAGACTTGGTGGATGTAAGTCATTACTGTGAATCCTAACAGTAATGCACCAAGAGTTTTGGTGAAAGCCTGTATGTCAACAATATTATTCTATTATAGTCTACAGTTCTTCAGTCAGCTTGTCATCTGCAGACGTATTTGCTGTTTAGTAAGGGCTGATCTGACGCTAGCTGGGCATCTGACCTAAAAAAGCCTCTGCAAATCTCTAAAATGCTGTGTTTAAATGGTATTTTCAGCTTGCAGTGTGTGCAAATAAGGACTACGTGTTAGAGAAATGTGGGATATACAGTCCACGTCATTCACCCCGTGCGTTACGTGGGATATACAGTCCACGTCATTCACCAAATTAATTTGTGACAACTTAGATACTAATTATGACAGCACTTATAAATTGGTTTTATTCCATTACATTATCTGAGTTGTGAGGCTGGTAATGTTAACTAGAGGATCAATAGGTGGCAGCACTTTATAGCAACCCCTGCAGGATAGTAGTAAAAACATATAGTTTATGTGTTACAAAGTCTAACAAAAATATTCAATATTTTACCTAAACAGAATAGTTTGACTTTCAACACAAACACAGCGTTTATGAACTGGTGTATATTCTCCTTCTCAGCCACTGAAGTGTGTCTGTTACAGTACATGTAATATCACACACCAGTCTCAATGCTCTTCTTTTTTAGATTTCCACAACTATTATCCTCTGCTCCAGCCGTGTTCAGAAAAAAAAAAAAAAAAGAACAACGGGGGCCGTAGCAGATAAGCGGCAGTCTGTTTTCACTCGTCTGTTCAGCAGTAATTATATTTGTTGGCGTGGAGGTAAGTGGTCCTCCCCGGGGGGCGTATTGTACTCGCGCTCTCCACGTCATAAAATAAAATTACAAGGAAAGGAGAAGATATCCTACAATAACAGAGGCAAGTCATAAAATCAAAGAGTCGCTAAATTAAATCTGAAGGAAAAAAAAAAAAACCTCACGGAAAACACATTAGGGGGATGATGGACGGGGGCAGGGGGCTTAGAATAAAACGCAGGTTAATGACTTTTTAATAGCCTCTACGACTGTATGGTTGGTTAACACACACACGCACGCACGTATACACTCACACAGTAAGCTTTCTCCGGCTGATGTGGGTAATTAAAAGTAATTAGTGATCAGTTACCTGCACTCCAACCTTTCCACACTCTTCAAATACTATCAGGAGGAGAGTTACGTGATATGAAGTGACACATCTGAGCCTAAAGTGCCTCACTCACCACACACACACACATTTTCCAGTTATAAGTTTAGCTTAATGCTGCGGCCTCCTCTCCTGTTACAGCGCTGAACATTCACACATCTTGTACCTGTTGACACCCTCTTGTCAGGTCAATGTATCTATGTGACCTTTGACACCTTGTTTGGAAGTTTCGACCCTACACCCGTTAGGTTCTGCCCGGCACTAGTGGCCTTTCATCGGAACCCCCTCTTGACCTGTGGGTGAACCTTCATGTTGCAGCAGATTCTGCCTTGTGGGAGGTCAAGAGCAGAGCAACGCTGTTATAATTGGCCTGTAAACACACACACACACAGACAAACACGAGGACACAAATTGAGGAGAGTGACATCTGCAGGTTGTCACATGTTCATTGGTAATAAAGATTTTCCTGTTTTTGGAAAATGAAGTGCATCTTAGTAGCAATAATGAACTTTATTTTATGATGTTTTTGTTAGACAGGTTCAGTTCATAATTACACATAAACAAATTGGCTTTTACAGTTATAAGTCAAATATACATGAGTCAAATAAATTGAAGATATATTTGTAAAGCTCAAAAATTTTACTACACTTAAATATTGCATTTGTTAAGTGTCAGAAAGGCTCTTGAAGGCGTTGTGATTAGAAAGTGATGCTGAGAAAACAGAAGAAGCTGAAACTTATCAGTAAGTTTATAGTTGAAAAGAAGCATTTCTCTGTTACAGATAAAAACACAACAATTTATGGACAGAAATGATGTGACATTTGAAGATGTGCGTACCACAAATACGACTTTTTTTTTTTCTGTATTAATTTGCTATTTTTACCATGTGGGTGTGTTGTGCGTGGTATAGTGTAACATACTCTTGAGTATGTGCGTGGTGTGTGATTAATCAGAGTATGGTGACCATCTCTCCTCTGCTGGGTCACACAGGAACATGTTCCAGGCACAGGTTAAAATCTGGCAGACTATACAGTGCACCTGTACACGTGAGGAAGAAAGTGCATAAACACCCACGGAGTACATACACCCTCACTCACGCACCATACATAAACACAGACCTACATGGATGCAAACTCACACATACACGCACCCGCACACACACACAGACCCACTCGCGTTCTCTTCCAGCGTTTTCAAAGACTTCCCCGTGGACAGACGCGTCTGCCAGTGCTGCTATAAATCACGTAGACGTTGGTGCTGAGGGCAAGGCACACCTTGTCCACGTCGCCCCCACTCCTGGGCTGAATAAACCATAACATCCTGCCTCTCGTGCTGCCCGACGCCCTCGGAGCACGACCCTAGAGAAGGCCCTCTCCCCCTCCTCCACCACCATCACCATCATCCTCCTGTCCTCCATCTCATCCCTCACGCCATCCCTGCCATTGTTCCTCCTCCTCCTCCTCCTCTTCCTCGCTCTGGTTCTCTAACTTTTCTATCTTTAGGAATTTCAGCAGCTGCAGTCGACGCACTGTTTGGAAAAACACACATCCAACTGTCTCATTTTCTTTTAGAATTTTTTTTTTCCTATATGACGCCTTCCTGCTTGAAAAGAGTGATGAGGGAGACAAAGAGGAGGAATAGACAGGACAGCAAAAACAGCAGGAAGCAAATGTTTAACCAGGGCACGTCGACACCCTCGTTCAGTCGTGTGCCGGCTCGGTTCAGGTGCACCGGGCCAGCGTACTTCCTACGCTTCATTTACCTCAGGGTGTGCCGCATTTGGCCGAGAAAGAGCTCCTTCCCTTCTTGACGCTGACCTGGAGGAAATATAATCTGTCTGGAAAGAAAATGAGAGATGATTTTACTTCCTGCCCAGAAGAGCCAAGTGAACTCTTCCCTGACCAACACCACCCAAATGAGACATAAACCTGAACAAAGGATGAAGAATGTGTGAAGCGTAGGCCTGTCTGCTGATTATTGCTCTTGAATTTAAACACTGCAGAGGGAAAAGCAAGGCAAACAATCCTCACAGCAGTCGGTACTTGGCGTTCCACGACGGGTCTTATTGGAGACAAAACCAGACAGAACCCTCAGAGGAACTCTGTTGTATGTTATTTGGCATGGACCCACGCAAATGATTACTTCCCTAAAATGTAATTTCTGAGTAAAAGGCTCCGAATTGCCAGTAAATCCACTCGCATGCAACAGTGTGTTTTAATTTGACAGCTGAAATTGTGATTTTGGAACAAAGCATGTCCTTTAGTCGCCGACAGTTTGTGGGGCTATGCATGTGCGTATTAACACTCACACACAGAGACACGTACATGTTTCCATGTGGGTCGTCACACACACAGATAAGTCCAAATCTCTCCCTAACCCCTTTCATATGCCTGGTTACATCCAGCAGAACGCCAGAGGAGCCTTGAGAGGACAAGAATAGAGAGGCATGTGCCTATTTGTGGCATCATTGTCAGCGAGATAAAAGATCTTAGCATTATGTTCACACACACACACGCAGACAGACACACACACACCTAAAACAAAACCACACATGCTTGAGCGATCATGCACTGAAATTATTACTACATATTTACTGATCTACAATGGGCAGGAGCATGAAGTACATCGAAGAACATCTTGTACACACACACACTTTCTCACTTACACACACACACATCACTGGCATTTGCCAACAGACTTACAGACACACTGTTCAGTTCCTAGAAGAGGCAGCTGAGTAATCTCCTCTTTATACACCCATAAGCAGCTTCACTCAGCTGTGTAAGTGTGTGTGTGTGTGTCATGTGGTGGTATACAGGGGTGAATGTAGGAGATGTTAGTGGATGTACCTCACCTGACTATAAATGAGCAGCCGCAGCACCTGTGCTGCTGCAGATCCAGCTCCAGGACAGAGCAGTCCCCTACATGGCGTGTCTTTTGTTGTGCGGGTATGAATAGAAGCTCTAAGATCACGGACGCTATGTAAGAAATGGACGTGGCTGTGTGGCTCTGAAAGTTAAGCTTAGGTAGTGGGTGAGAAGTAGTAGCGAACCGCCAGGGGGCGATGTTACTAGATGCAAATTGTCGTAGATGAAAACTGTAAAGGCAGTGTCTGTGGTTGTGTTTCACGCAGTTTGAGCTTCGACACTGACAGTGGTTTGGTCAGCGGCGGTTTGATCTGTGTCGACCCAACGATGTGGTGGAAAAACCTACAAATATGTTTTCTATTGAAATTATTTTTCAACTCCACAACTACAGCACTTAACTTTTTCCACAAATAATATTTATGTTGTTTTTTGGGGGGGCACTTAAAATGTTGTGTCAGCCTGTAAGAGTGCAGCCTCCTCCTCCTCCTCCTCCTCTCTGTTTCCTGTTGTAATCACTGCTGTGTTCCCAGGACAAGTTAAATTTGTAAAGTAATTTTATTTAACTCAGAAAGTATTTATAGTCAGAATCCTACTGTAACCTGGTGACTTACATTACTTGTTTGTTTTGCAACTTTTGAGTTGCATTACTGCCACCTACTGGACCTGTTTCAGACAGAGAGCAGTATCTGTGCTGACGCAGATATTGTCTTGTAAGAAATAAATAACAGTTTAAAGTTCAGGAAATTTGTATCCCCTACTTTATAAAAACATTATATGATCATAATGACATGACCCCAGCACACGTGCACACACACACGCAGACATTCAGGTTGTGCTGATTGAACATGTTTGATCAGCTCATCTTCTTACTGAGGAGAAACAAAGCCCTTAGTCAGGTTACACACACAAACTTGTCTTTTTTTTGTTTTTTCCCTCTGTCCTCTTCACGGGTCAGTGGGTGAATAAAGCTGCTGTCACTTTCCTCTGGGTGGCGTCAGTGACAGGCAGCCTGACCACCATCAACTTCCGTACAGGAAGGGGAGATTCCTGCAAGGAAAAGGCCGGGAGGAGCAGGAACAGCCGCAGGCATCACTTGTCCTCTGGCTTAGCAATAAAGATCCTGACGGCAGTGTGTGTGTGTGTGTGTCTCCAGTGAATGTCCTTAACCTGACCCCTATGTCTTTTTACATCCTTTGTTTTCCAGATAGTAAAAATACATCAAATGTCTGAGCTCAACAACTGTAGATCAATTGTTCAGTCGTATTTATTTCTCACGTCTTTTCATCTATGAGTCGTCTGTCTTCAGTCGGAGGTTCAACTTCGAGTCCTGAGATTAGCAGCTGGTCACTTAGGAGTGAACCAGAGTCAGTGAAGTGCTGTCCACTTAGCTGAAGATTATCCTTTAAAAGGAAGGGATGGCGGTGGAGATGGAGAGGGAAAGGGGAAAAAAGAGGGATGCGCTTAAGAGACGCATGGAGGGAGAGATATGAAGGACAGGGAGAGGGCAACTGAATCATACGGCGATAACGTGTGTGGGAAGAAGGTTAACGAAAAGAGCAGGGAAATGCTGCAATAAGAGAAACATGTAAATGAAAGCTGAGGTGACGGAGTGAGAGAGAAGCCCGAGAGAGAGAGGAGGAAGCAGGAAGGACGAGGACAAGAGGTGGATTAAGCAGAGAAAACACTGTTTGTGAAGTGTTGCCTAACAAAGCTCAAGTCCTTATCCAGTGCTTCCGGGGTTATTGGGGTGTACGAACATACAGTAGTTCATGTCTGTTGTTGTCAGCTACAGACCTATCTAAGTAGAAAAGCTAAAAATGGAAGATACTTTAAACTGTTTTTCTTGTGTTGGCTCGGGATCCAAGATGAACCCAGTAGTTCAGTCAGTTTGTTACTGTCAATAATTCTTCACTAATCATCTGTTTTTCTGAACCAAGTCAGTTTGATTGACTATAATGAGTCCCGCAGTGAAAACATGATGTTTTGCTAAAATTATAACAAATACGGTTAATTCAGCGCAGAGTGAATCTTTGATTGTAGCTTATTTTTTCAATATTTTCTATGATTGCACGAACACACTTGTGCTGACATTACTGCTGTTTCATGGATTTACTTCACTACTCCAAAAATACTACCCATGATGTACTGTGGGTAATTATTATAATACAGTGTTTATGTTGAAACCGTGTTTGAAAGTTTTTAAAAAAGTTTCTCGTTTGTGTTGTTCAGATTGAAAGACACGATGTGCAGTCGTTGGAGCCACAGAGGTGAAAGAGCACGTGTTTTTGTTTTTAACTATGTGTCGTGCCACAGTTCAGCCAAGGCTGTTGTTGAATTTATAGACAGAAAGGTTTTATTTTTAATTAATTGATTATGGTCTTTTCCGTTATCAAGAAACTACTCATTTTTATTACTTATTAATACTAGTCTACATGTGCGCTACATGCTGTATACACACCAGCCCCCCCTACTTCTTTCTCTCTGTCTGTCTGTCTGTCTCTCTCTGGGTGTCTCTCGCTCTCTTGTCTCAGTCCCTGTTAAGAAAGCAGAGGAGGGGCCACAGCCCACGTTAATCTCCTCATTTTCATTTCTCTTAATATGTGGGATTAGAATGATTTTATTTAAAGTGTTAGCTGAGCTACCGGATTGAGAAATCTGGATTTCCCAAGGATTATTATCTCGCTCTCTCTCTCGCTCTCTCGTGCCCACACACACACACACATTCTCACCACTCACTAATGACCTTCTTGGGCAACGACCAGTTATTCAGTGCAGAGAAGACCCCCAGACCATGTGACAGACTTTCAGTGAATGATATCAGAAGTTTAAAAAGCACACATGCAATTCTTTATATCTTTATTTTTCAGTGTTCATCAGGCAATTCATCACGCAATCTACGGTCACCCTTGGCCAGACGCAATTGAAATGAGGGGAACAGCCTCCGACTCTCTGAGTGAGGTTTAACATCTAATCTACATTAGGATAAGGCTTTCACCGTTCGGGAAAAAAAGAAAGAATTGAAACGACATCACCTTTTCATCCCGAGGCCAAGCCTTTTATTCCTCCTCTCCTCATTACATTAAAGGATGAGGGAGGCCGTACAGTGGTTGAGCGGTATTTAAAGACACCATCCCTTCATCTGTTTAATTTCTCTTTATTTAAGAGACTCCCTCCTCCCTTCAGCGCTCCCTCACTCTGTTTAATTTCTCTTTTATCCAAAGAGTCTCTCCCTTAATCTGACTGATTGATCTTTGTCTCACTGCAAATGACACGCAAGAGTCAGTGACTGCGAGGTACCTTGTGACGGGACGCAAGAGTCAGTGACTGCGAGGTACCTAATCCAACCTTTGTGACGGGGGCGACGTGTCTGTGTGGAAACAGGGCGACTTTGAGGCTGCAGATCTGAGCGTTTTCTCTGCATTTGAAAAATAGCTTTAATGATGCAATATGTTATAAAGCTTACAATTCATTAAAAAAAAACTTACATATTTGGATAACACTCAGTTCCCAATCATTTTGTCAAACTTTTTTTCTGAGAACTTAGTCTGTAAAAACCACCCAACACTTTATTCAAATCTAAATGAATAAAATTAAACTCATCAAATGTAAGGCAGCAAAAAAATAATGTAAAGCAAAGGTCTTGAACGACCAGAACCCAGGTCAGGGCCAAGCTCAGCTTTCATTTATTGTGTATCCGTTTGAAATACTTTTTTTTTTTTTTAATATTTTATAGGCACATACAAATACTGTGTACAGGCTACCCACTTGTGCCCACACACGTAACATGCGATGCAAACATACTGTGCACACACACACTTTCACATTTTAAGAGCGAGGTCTTGGGAAGTAGGTTAAGCAGGCCGGGATCACCTCTCGCTGCTCGCTCCCAGCTTAGAAGCACTAAGAGAGCTGAGTGGGTGGGATGGGCGCTGCAGTTGGAGAGAGGATGGAGGTTGGGGTGGGAGAAAGAGACACAGAGAGGGAGAGAAAGAGGGGTGATGGAGAAATCTTCCAGAGGACATCTGTCACACTCAGCAACTTGTGAGCTGCTTTTTTCCAGCCCACTGTGTGACCCATGGATTCTCTTGCATGACTGCCCAAGAACTATGACAGTTTTAGAAGGGGTTTTAGTCCCTTCTCATGGCCTAGGAGACCCCGTGTAAACAGGGTTAAGTCAAATCTCTGTTGAGATAACACAGATTGACACTAAACCTGCCCAGTTTAGATACTGATTCAGTGTCTTCACATGTGGAAGACGTGGTTGAATATAGTCTGTGAGAGGATGGAATACTGTCAAGGACTGATCTTAGAGCTTGGCCTTTTTTTCTGCCACAAATCATGTAATTAAAAAACACACCAGATGACACTTCTGTTGCTCTTTTGTGACCATGTGTCCACGTCTGAGCATGTCGTTGGTGCTGAATAGAGCAAACAGCGGGTTACCAAAAAAAATAAATAAATGAAACAGCATGAGAACATTTCACCCCCTCTTGCAGGTGTTGAAGATGTAGAGTAAACAACAACAACGCCGCTCTACACACACAAAAACACACACACAAACACAAAAGGCCCATTGTGCATCCTTGTGTGTCCACTAACCCTTTCTGCTTAATCTGGGATTACAGCATTCCCATCCTGATGGCAGCAGAGAAGACAATGCCTCATTTAATGGGAGGAAATGTGCAGTAATGATGTTAACACATCAAACTTTTTACTTCATTCTCCCACTTTCTCTAATATATGCATTAATTATTGCCTCTATTCACAAATCTGGGTCTGTTTCCCCTGAACCTACGGCTTATAAACCTTTTTAAAAATTGGGCCACTTACCCATATGGCCTACAGTTCTGTCTGTGTTATCTGTTCAGGTAATAGATTGTCAAAATGGTAACTAATGATAGGAACAGAGTAATAAATTGTAAAAAAAAGCCAATAACCTATTTATTGTTAGCCAAAACAAAGACATAAACCAGCCTGAAAATAATAACCATATATTCCCTTAGAAACATATTGGAGTGGCAAAAAAAAATCTTGTAAATTGACTGTCCCACTAAACCATTGAAATTAAAAATTAATTATGAGAAAGGATTTGGGAACAACACAAAGACAGGACCACGTCTGTCCTCAGGACTGAACTTTAGACACCCCTGTCCTAATTAAAAAACACAAGTTCACATTCATACACATACACAAACCTGCTGAAAAATGTTAAGAAAACGTGTATTAATTTTATAGAAAAAATATCTTTGTGTGTGTTTGACTCTCCTTCTCTATCTCTCTCTCTCTCTCTCTCTGTGTGTGTGAAAGAGAGGAGGGGGGGTGCCTCTGGGCCTTATTGTGAGGGTACAATATACAGTATAGCTGTTCCCATGGGCTGTAATCTGACACTAAAATGTCCATTAACACACTATCAAAGCTATTCTTCTCTGTTGTGTCACACTTCCATGAGCCATTTGTGGCTTTAGTGCTCAGGCTCCCCAGCCTATTTATTGTAGTTCACAGTGCAAAGTAATAGGATGCTGTGTTTATGGATAAGGAGTTTTTCAATTTGTTGGCCCTGAAGACAAAACGGCGACTGTGTGGGTAGGACGGTGGGGTTTGATTATTAGTGAAGAGCAGATCAGAAGATGTCGGTACCAGGCGCTCTGCTGTTAGGGAGGTAATGGTTTGCTGCTCTGTGAATAAAACCTGCGATGATGGCTGTATTTTTATTGTGAGGACCCAGGTGTTGCCAGTGTCATGCATGGACACTCATGGCACCGATGACCTGGCACACGGCGACCAAACCAGAGACGGGCCAAGACGTAGTGTGTGACCATGTGAGAGAGTGAGAATGAATCTTCCTGAGAGATAGTCAGCCGTGCACATTCATCGTTTCCAAATGTTTTTTGGTGTAGTCGCTGCATCGAGAGCGAAGATTAGATTCAAAATGTTGATATTTGTGACATGGTTAACGTCAAAGATTGTCTTTAAAACTGTCCTGGCTCAATGCTAAACCCACTGGAGTGTGTTGTGTCGGATTTTAAATTAAAAATTTAAAGAATTCAAATTTGTATTCATAAATTCTCTTAAACATAACTACAAAGACGTCAGGTGCATTTGTAGTTGTACCTTTGTTTGTCACTGCATATGTATGCATCATACCAGCATGTGTGTGTGTGTGTGAGTGTGTATATGTGCGCACCAGCTGTCTGATCAGTAATCAGTTAGCAGTGGGCTAATGCAGCCTCCTTAACCCAGGGGCCTCATAAGACCTCCTCTGTCCCAGTCCCTGCCAGGGACAAATCCATTACCCAAAACAAGGACATCAAATGTCAACAAACAACAAATACAGACACACATGACAAAATAATATCTCAGTAATACTGTAACAGGAAAAAAAACACAACATGTACAAGTCATGAAATGCCTCTTTGAACTCGTTCATTTTATTATTTTTTCCTGCTTTTACACAGAACTTGGTGATGGTGATGTTAATGACTCTTCATTTTAATTGGTTGTTCCTCAGGAAGTGGTGGTGTCAAATACTCATACTAATTCGCAGAAATACACGACTTCCATGTTTGTTTTTCAAACAAGGGAATGAGGCTTTAAAGGATATAAAAACAATCCTGGGCATTTTGTCAAGGGCTCTGGGACCAAAGCAGCGTTCTACAAAGGCGTACATAAACAGCACATAAATCCTACTGCCCCTCAGAAGTGGTACAAAGACTGCGGTGGCTCCCTGAGGGCCTAATAGTAAGCAGCAGCGTTTACATATCACTAGCCCTCGTAGCATGTACAGGGATCTGGCAGGTTTCAGAGCTTTGATGCTCCGTCACCCAGCAGGTCGAGTGCATCGATCCCCAAGGTGGTGCCGCTTTCTGGGCTGCACTGCCTGGGTGACAGGGCCCCCTCCCAGAATCCTCCCCGGTGTACGTACCCAGCAGATGGCCTCAAAGAGGAACCAGAGACTCAGGGCCAACATCCAGCTCTCAAACAGAGAAGCAGAGGAGCAAATGGCCTGTTAATATTTCATACAAACACTCACTCATCTCTGAGCGAGGAAACGGACAGGACGGAGAGCACAGTGTGTGTGTGTGTGTGTGTATAAAGGAAAGGGTGGGTATCTGGGAGAAATCAAAGACATTCTGATGAAATATAAATAGTTTTCCCTCTCAGAGATGCTGCTCTGTGGGCTGACTTTTGCATCACAATCAGTTCTTGTCAAAGGTTAGGGTTTGGCCACAGACCCAGGAAGGGCAGCTAAAGTAGACGCACGCATTAGGGTTCAAACGGCTTTTTAATAAAGGATCAAATTGTCCCTGGACCTCAGCGGTGCACACAGACACACGCGCGCTTCACCAATTACCCTCGGCACCAGATCCTTCCTTAAGCTTCTGCTGTATCTTGTGAGTGTAACCTGTGCGCTAATAGCCCATAACCCCTGTTCAGATCACTGGAGGTTCTGCTGTTTGCTGGTCGGTAATTGCCCTCTTCATCAGTACTCTGTCTGCGTGAGCGGCAACGCAGCCAGCCCTGAGGTCTTCCTGATGTCATTAATGTGTGATTAGGGCCGGTGGGGAGCAGCAGTTAGGAGGTTAAAAAGCCCCTGACAGCCCTCATCATTGTCGAGGAAACCCTGAGACTGATATGGAAGCTCTGCAGATGGGTGAGAGCGAGTCACTGCCAAACTCCTAACTTGTTATTGCTCATCACCTCCAAAAAATTACGCCGCCCTAATAAATCGCACTGACACAGGCACGCGTGTGAATTTTTAATGACTCAAGATGCAGTTTAAACCAGAAAAGCTGGATTTTTAGCAAAAAACTTTTACAACACCTTGACAAAGTAACGACATGTTTGATAAAGTCTGGCTACAAAGACAGAGGGATATGCATTAAAAGAATCTAATAATATCTCATCTAAATATCTAATATTTAGATATCCAAGTTGCTAGCATAAATTGACGAACAAATAGATGATGATTGCCAAATCATCTATTTGCAAGAATTAGTGAGTACAGTAGTGTATAGCAGTGCAGTCATTGTTTCCAAACAGTAGAGTAAAGAAGAAGACAGAGCATTTATCCCATCAACGTGTGCAGCCATTGTTTTCCAGAGAAGTGGCTCTGTGCTACATCTTTAGCTTGATGATGAAATAATCAAGTGTGTCAGCAAATGTCAGATTTCATTGTCAGGATGTACCAACTTTTTTGGGAATATCACTTGTATTTACATGCAGGAAAAGCCACCAAAATGTTCAACACAGATTTGTGCTCCCAAATCTCCTAGGTTTTGTCATTCTTTTAAACCGTGTAACACTAATTATAGTAGAAATGATGGTTGGTCCTGGGAGGAGAAACCTGACGAGTTAAACTTGACACAACAATCTAAGCTCAAACCCAAAAACGTTGGCTTAAGTACTCAGTGGTGTCAGGGTTTTTAGGATTCCTTTAAGTTATCATCTTTAATACATGAGACCATTTCCTGCCTGACTGTGCAACAAAGTCATCAGACTGAGAGGAAAGATGAAATATAAATCAAGCGTCCCTCTCTGCCCCCTCCCCAGTGAACAGGTGGCTGAGTTGAATGAGAGGGTGCACTAACTTGGCTGTCACCGTGTTTTCCAACAGAACCGCTGCCTTCTAAAGCCAAACCACCGTGAATTATACATCTATGGCAGTAATTCTCTCAGAGGAGAGAGGGAGCGAACGTGAGGAGGGGGGCTAAGAGAGTTAGAGAGATTAATGGCTGTAGCGGTTGTTTTTGACGCAGTGATCCTTGGCTACGCTTCCTGCCCGCCGCTTATTGGCTTTTCAGAGCACATTTATTTATTTCGTTAACAAGAGAGAGCGGCCACGTTGCTGTCACTTTTTTGGCTCGTTCGGTGCCACAGCAGACTTGTCATCTCCTACACCGTGGCGTGCGCCTTTGAACCCTGCCACGAACTACAGAGTGAGAATATTAATAGTGCAACAAACAAGACTTTAAAAATAGCAGGGTTTCGTCAGGGGCCAAATGTCACCAACACTTTTTGTCCAACAGACCGACCAGCAGGGGCAGAAAAAAAGGGTTGAGGAAAAAAAATTATGTCGTCATCCTTTGTGGCAGTCACTGAGAAAGTTTCATTTCTGAAATCTGGAAAAAATCATTCTGACACAGTTTCTGTCTTGACATCTTCCCACCAGTCCTTTAAATGTGTCCCTTTGATAAAAAGTTCGAGGGTAGATTTTGCTTAAAGAATTTTTAGCCGATGGTACTGTTTATCTCAGGTCATCAATAAGACACAACGGCTGCTGCAGGAAACAACTTTATTCCCACAGCAGAAAGTCATTTTGATGTTAGTTAATGTTAACACTTGCTGTTTGATTTATATGATTATATTTAAAGCAGCTAGATATATTTTAATTTCAGATTCCTGAAGTCGAGGCCATCATTTGTAGTTCCTTCATGCACTGCAGTCTTGTCCCACAAAGTGTCACCAAGGAAAAATGGTAGGATTTTTTTTTGTCCAAAATAGAGCATAGCATAGACATGTTGTTGCAAAATGAACTTAAACAGTGGCTCATTAATTTAATTTAACATGAATCACTCCGTACTCTGGAGCTGTGGATGTTTGACTAATAACTAATAACTTAGCCATAGAGCTGAACAATCTTACCCTGGAGGTCCATGTAGATGAGTGTATGAAGGGGAGACGCTGCTGCTGATTGTATGGATTCATTAATGCTGTCGTTTTGTAACGATGTAAAGGGAGCTTGTCATGTTGCACATCATTTTCTGCCCTGGTTTCTTTGTTATGGCAGAGGTGCAGTGTAATAACTTTGTTTATGTTGTTTTTTTAAGTCTTGTGTGACCTTAAATGACAGCCATGTGACTTGAAAACTGCAGTGTTTTTTCCTCCAGTGGAGAAGCACTGAGCTGAGTGTTGTGGACTCGGTACAATC